CATATTTTTGGAAAACCAATTTTCAAAAAGAACCACTCTGAATAAACCTTTTTTTGCAGTTGAACCTACAAGCCTCTGCAGTAGTGATGTCTCGAACGGTTTGCCGCGGATGGTGAACATATGCGGTAAACTTTGACCCTGTACCTCACAGTCAGCAGACACATTCCAGCCAATCAGCAGCAGACCCTCCCTCCCAGACCCTCGCACCTCCTGGACAGCATCCATTTTACATTCATTGTGAAGCTGCATTCAGGAGGTGGGATGGTCTGGGAGGGAGGGTCTGCTGCTGATTGGCTGGAATGTGTCTGCTGACTGTGAGGTACAGGGTCAAAGTTTACCGCATATGTTCGCCATCCGCGGCGAAACGTTTGGGACATCACTACTCTGCAGTAATTGCCAACTGGCAGCAGGTAAATTGGCAAGTATTAATAAATACATGACATTTATTTATAACACTGGATTGTTCCTTTCACAAGATTGCAGTATAATGAAGGAGGGAAATACCTCACTGAATAGAATCTGGCTCAGATTATGGAATGTAGCAGAAAAAGCAAGATGATCCAACACTGTGGCTGTTATATTACACTGGTGTTGGTGGAACTAGGTCTGAGTACTCTGTCATCCCTTGCACCCTTTTAATATACTTTTGTCTGGATATGGAACATGGCCATATTATTTTAACTGTTGACTGCTCAGTAATATTTTCCTTGAAGTTGAGGGACGGTGTTTAATTAGACTGTAGTTCCTACAGAATAGGGCTACATATACTCAAATTTAGATAGTTTAGATAGATGTTATATATTAGAGCTTAAAATGGGTAAAGTAATTTTTTATTAGTCATAGCATTTCCAATTCAAAAGAGTTCAGAATGGAGCCAATAGCTTTTCCTTTACTAGTCAACTATAACTATATATATGAAGATATTATATATTTTTCAATGTTAATATCCATCATATAAAATCATTTGTTGTGAATGGATTACAAATGTGCTATTCTATTAAATAATTATAATCAGAAGCACAGGTACATGTAAACGTGATATACTTAAAGTTGCTTGCATTGCAACAGTTTCCATTTTGCCTGTTTTACATTTATAGTAAGATTCTGCTCATTTATTATGTTCCTACTTTTCTCACAATGCTCTCTTATGTTCAGTGAAGCAAGTATATATAGTTGCAAGAAAAAGTATGTGAACCCTTTGGAATGATATGGATTTCTGCACAAATTGGTCATAAAATGTGATCTGATCATCATCTAAGTCACAACAATAGACAATCACAGTCTGCTTAAACTAATAACACACAAAGAATGAAATGTTGCCATGTTTTTATTGAACACACCATGTAAACATTCACAGTGCAGGTGGAAAAAGTATGTGAACCCCTAGACTAATGACATCTCCAAGAGCTAATTGGAGTGAGATGTCAGCCAACTGGAGTCCAATCAATGAGATGAGATTGGAGGTGTTGGTTACAGCTGCCCTGCCCTATAAAAAACACACACCAGTTCTGGGTTTGCTTTTCACAAGAAGCATTGCCTGATGTGAAGGATGCCTCGCACAAAAGAGCTCTCAGAAGACCTACGATTAAGAATTGTTGACTTGCATAAAGCTGGAAAGGGTTATAAAAGTATCTCCAAAAGCCTTGCTGTTAATCAGTCCACGGTAAGACAAATTGTCTATAAATGGAGAAAGTTCAGCACTGCTGCTACTCTCCCTAGGAGTGGCCGTCCTGTAAAGATGACTGCAAGAGCACAGCGCAGACTGCTCAATGAGGTGAAGAAGAATCCTAGAGTGTCAGCTAAAGACTTACAAAAGTCACTGTCAAATGCTAACATCCCTGTTAGCGAATCTACAATACGTAAAACACTAAACAAGAATGGATTTCATGAGAGGATACCACAGAGGAAGCCACTGCTGTCCCAACAAAACATTGCTGCACGTTTACAGTTTGCACAAGAGCACCTGGATGTTCCACAGCAGTACTGGCAAAATATTCTGTGGACAGATGAAACCAAAGTTGAGTTGTTTGGAAGAAACACACAACACTATGTGTGGCGAAAAAAAGGCACAGCACACCAACATCAAAACCTCATCCCAACTGTGAAGTATGGTGGTGGGGGCATCATGGTTTGGGGCTGCTTTGCTGCGTCAGGGCCTGGACGGATTGTTATCATCGAAGGAAAAATGAATTCCCAAGTTTATCAAGACATTTTGCAGGAGAACTTAAGTCCATCTGTCTACCAGCTGAAGCTCAACAGAAGATGGGTGTTGCAACAGGACAATGACCCAAAGCATAGAAGTAAATCAACAACAGAAGAAAATACGCCTTCTGAAATGGCCCAGTCAGAGTTCTGACCTCAACACGATTTGAGATGCTGTGGCATGACCTCAAGAAAGCGATTCACACCACACATCCCAAGAATATTGCTGAAGTGAAACAGTTTTGTAAAGAGGAATGGTCAAGAATTACTCTTGACCGTTGTGCACGTCTGATCTGCAACTACAGGAAACGTTTGGTTGAAGTTATTGCTGTCAAAGGGAGGTTCAACCAGTTATTAAATCCAAGGGTTCACATACTTTTTCCACCTGCACTGTGAATGTTTACATGGTGCGTTCAATAAAAACATGGCAACATTTCATTCTTTGTGTGTTATTAGTTTAAGCAGACTGATTGTCTGTTGTTGTGACTTAGATGATGATCAGATCACCTGTAAGACCAATATGTGCAGAAATCCATATCATTCCAAAGTGTTCACATACTTTTTCATATATATATCTCCAATCTTAAATACCATTTATATCGTACTCTGCATTAGTTATCTTTAGAGGTCAGAGTGCTATTTTAATAATACAGACCTGTAGAGGAAGACACAGACAATATGCAACAATGCCCTGTAAATTAAATCTCTAACTGCGTCATCAGAAGTACAAAGAATTCAATTTGCAAGGGGTCAAGCTACAATTTAAGTAATCCATTGTTTTATTGAAGTGTGCAATATTGCATATGTACACCTGTTTACTGATAAACTGTGCTCTTTCATGTGAGGAGAAGTTATAGAATTTTTATAGAGTATATTGTTCTTAGAAAATAACAGTTAATAAGCAATATGCACCCAAATAGAATCAGGTCCATTGCTGCAAATGATCTTATTGGATTTGTACTATTTTAAAATAACATAAATATGGAATAAAAGAAATATATAGTTGTACACAGGGAATCTGTATATTATGTTTCCATAAATATTAATGTAAGTAAGTGAATGCAAGACAAGGAAAAAGCTCTCTGGATAAAAATGCTGCAGGCAGCATTTGAATTTCTTATTACCAAACCTAATGGGAAATTAGAAGTCTGCTTATTTAATTGGGAATCCATTATATGTTACATGTGTATTTCAATCAAGTTCTCTTGTGTTTTGATGGAGAATAATTCTCTTGGAATATGAATAGATAGATGAACATTGTGCAGAATATCCTGCAGGCAGTGGAGGTATAGCCTAAAAAGGATATGTTAGTGTGCAATGTATATCAGCATGCTCGTGCTAAAATTAATATGGTCAGCAATCCTGTCAGCTCTGTGTACTGTTGTGACCGTGTTCTAATATTAACAAACTTTCCTTTATGGTAAGGCAGTGTTTCCCAAACCAGTCCTCCAGACCCACCAGCAGTCCACATTTTGTCAGTATGTCAATTGGAATAAAACGGGGAAATACATAAATCCTGGACTGTTGGTGGGCCACGAGGACTGATTTGAGAATTATTGAGGTAAGCTATTACACATGCACATACCTGTTTTTTTTGTGAATTATGTCAACGAGGAAGAGATTATTAGAAGTGTTGAAACCAAAAAAGGGTAAGAATTCTAAAAATGGAGCAATCTCCATAAAAACCATTGCGATAAAGGCTCAGTCTAATGGCAGCCAAAAAGTTTCCACATGGATTGCTTCTCTTAAAGGAACTCTCAGCAGGAAAAATAATGCCATATGAAAAATTTGCTTGCAGTAGCTTCAGATATAATATCTGCAACTATTGCAAGCCCTCCCCTTCTTCCCTGGCATATACTCATTCATCTGTGCTGGGATTTAACCAATCACAGACATCTCATTGAGAAGCATTGTGGACCAGCCATGCATTCACAAGTTTATCCAATTACAGACTTGTCAGTGAACTGTATAGCTCATTGAGAAGTCTTTGCAAGGCATTCTGGTTAAGCACATACTATTTGAGCATAGCTTTACAGAACTAAACTTGTTGGACAAAACATAACCTGGCTCTCAGTTTGGCAGCTGAAGACATGCAACAGAATATAATTATAAAAGTTTCAATGTCAACATTTGTTTAAAGTTAAAAAGTGGATGCCCTCTTCACACATAAAGCACTTATTAAGGCTGAAGTGCTTTATGTGATTGGATTCTTCCTTTAAAACTTTGTTTCACTTTTCTGCTTGTTGCTGTATTCTACGAATCTCCTCCTGATTGTACCACAGCTTCAGGAAAACACACATGTTCACTGCACTAATAATTTAGATCACATAAAAAAAATATATATATAAATGAAGGGGGCGTGGCCAACTGCCGAGCAACCTGGCTGCTTAGGAAATTGCTCTGGCACCCGGGCTCTCAGGGCACTAAAAAAAAAAAAAACACATTCCAAAACGCATGATGTCAAACCCCTGAAGGGAAGAAGAACGCACAGAAAAATGAAAAACTGAATTTCTTTACCCACAAAACCGCGAGCAGCTCTGAAGTTGATCGTGGCCCAAATCAAGATGGCGCCGACGACCAAACAGCGGAAAACATCACAAACTCAGGCCCATCACATGAAAGCCAGGAAAACCTGACCAAATCACACCTAGATAAAGGCAATGAACAACATGGCTGACAAACTCATAAAAACATGGCAATCCTCCATAGGACAACTCCGCAAGGAGATCCAAGACATTGGCAGCAGAACCACACACGTGGAAAACAAACTGAGCGAATATGCTACAGTACATAATGACATGGCTGACCATGTGGCGACACTGGAACATAAAATAGCAACAATGGAAGCACGCATGGCGGATGCCGAAGATCGCTCATGGAGGAATAACCTCAGATTGAGAGGAGTCCCAGAGAGCATCTTGCCGAATGATCTACAGGCCTATGTCCAGGGCCTCCTGCGGGCATCCGCTCTGGACATACCCACAGAGATGTTCCTAGTGGAACACAGGGTGCCCAAGCCACGCAACCTACCTGATTCCATCCCCCGGGACGTCCTGCTGAGAGCACATTACTTTCATATAAAGGAAGCGGTGTTGCGAGCCAGTAGGAACTCCACAGAACCGTATGGGACCTATGCAAAAGTTAAGATACTGGCTGACTTATCCGCAGCAACCCTCAAATGCAGAAGGGACTTTCACCTGGTGACAGAGGAGCTGCGCCGCACTGGAATTAGATACCGCTGGGGATACCCCACCAAGCTATTAATCACGAAAAACGGCGAGCTCAAAATTATCAACACACCGGATGAAGGCACCTGGACCCTGAGAGAATGGGGGCTCGCAACAGATCCCCCCCCCATTCCCCCCCAATACACTATGGAAATCAAAGGAAGCGCACCCACAACCTAGGCCATAAGCACCGCAAAATGCATTATGTAGAACTGATCACCATAGCAGGCACGATAAACCACGCTAATAGAAGACAATGAAAATAGAATAACATATCAACAAGATAACCACTTAGACAAAGCTCAAGTTTGTCAGGTTCTTACCTGATGGGGAGTCCGGCTCGCAGAGTTATACGCTCACCCTTGCAAAGTAGACACAGACCAGGGTGACCAGGTAAGACGCCACTTGATCTGTGAGTCTGTGCACGGGGGCTTTCCAGGAATAGTGCTCCAAGTAGCAGTACAGCAGGGATTAGCAGAAGCGTAGTCAAGGAAAGCCAAAGTCAGGGAAAGCCAGAGATCAGAGTAGTCTAAGAGGAAAGCCAAGGTCAGAAGCCGGAATCAGACAGGAAATACTGGAACGCTGATATGGCAAGACAGGAACCAAACAAGGGAACCAGAGTCAATGAACTGACACTGCCCTCAGGGAGAGGCAGTGTCTTATACCTGGCTAATTAGTGATCAGCCACAGGTGTGCAGAGATCATTGGAGCAGCCACAGAATAACGTCCACAGAATAACGCTGGGTACAAGGCAAGATAGACTTCTGGCTATCTCTTGAGCTGATATGGTGGCTCAGAGGCAAAATAGCAGCCCCAGGACTGCAAAGTACCCTGGTTCAAGTCCATCACCGGGCACTTCTGGGGCGACCTCGTCTGGCCGTTGGGATGTCGTGGTGAGAACCGTGAAAAAGTTATACTCAGCACCTGACAAACTTGGATTAAAATGCTGTACATGCATACCGTAAACCACCCATACACGCTAGCCAGCAAATTAGCAACATGCACACTACTCACATACCCACTGGATCACAGCTCTGAGGAAGGATACAAATGTGTAATTATGACAGCCCAATGGCCACACTACTCGAGACGTTGCCTAGGCGTCCATCCCCCATGGCACAGTGCCAAGACCCACATTTATGTCAGTTTGTATATACTTTGTTTGTTACCCCTACCTCTCCTGAACCTCTTACTCCCGGGCACAAATATGCAGCCGCGCAGATGCCAGCAACGAGGCACATAACACAGCCACTGTTCACACCACAACATAACATAGACTCCACGGAACTACAAACGAGCACCGCTTATCACAAACCTATTACATGAAAATATACTCACACAACTGTAGGGGGCTGAATACCCCCCATAAAAGGCATATGGCACTAGAGGAAGCCAAACAACATCGAGCGGACATTATATGTCTACAGGAAACCCATTTTGTTACCTCCAGAGTGCCCAACTTCGGCGCACAGCACTACCCCCACCAATACCACGCAACGCATTCATCTAAATCAAGAGGGGCCTCCATCCTTCTACACTCATCCCTAACAGTGGAAACATTACGTTATCAAAGATAAACAAGGTAGATTTGTGATCTTGCAATGCCTCTTAAACAACTTACCATACACTATAGTCAGCTTGTATGCTCCTAATGTACATCAGCGAAACTTTTTACACAAGATGCTCTCCATAATCCCAACCCACCAAACTGCCTCAATCATACTATGCGGAGACCTCAACCACCCCCTCGACCTATACATGGACACCACACTAAAAACCACAACACCAAGACACAAAACGATTAAAACACAAAGCAAGTCAATCAACAAGTTGCTAGGAGAATATGGCCTGTATGACTCTTGGAGAACATTCCACCCAAGTGAGAACATGTTCTCTTTCTATTCAGCAGAACACAAATCATATTCAAGCATAGATTTCATCCTTCTTACGGGCCCACTACTCTCTAAGGTAGCACACAGTGAGATCAGGGACATAACATGGTCAGGCCATGCCCCAACCATGGCAGAGCTGACTGAGGACTTCCAACACAGAGGGAGACCGCCATGGCGGCTGACTGACTCACTTTTAGGTGATCACACATTCTCTACAACACTATCAGAAGCACTGCAATCATACTTCCATGATAACAATACCCCAGATGTACAACCGAACACTGTGTGGCGGTCATTAGAGGAGTCCTCATCAGCCGAGCCTCCTACCTCAAAAAGAAAGCACAAAGAGAATACCTACACCTGCTGGGCACCCTAAGAAATACGACGGCAGCAAATATAGTAAAACCCTCACCACAACTAGCCCAGGTAATAAAAGACACCACAACAAGCATCAACAACATGGCAATCTCCAAAACCGCAACACATATTACAAAAACTGAAACAGAAAACATACTCACAAGGCAACAAAGCAGGAAAGCACCTAGCAACATTGTTACGCCAAAGACAATCCAGTGCAAAAATCCCATACCTCCTCACACCCAAAGGCTCTAAAATCCATAACCCACAGGACATTAATGACACCATGGCAAACTACTACCACACACTATACAATCTCAAAGATGACCCAAACCTACACCAACCCACACACCAGGATATCCAAAGCTTCCTCCAATTGTCATCACTGCCAACACTGACAGAGCAACAGAAAACCATATTGCAAGATCCAGTAATGCATGAGGAAATACAACAAGCCATACACTCACTCCCCCATGGCAAATCACCAGGACCCGACGGATTCACAAACTCCTACTACAAAACGTTGACCACAATCCTCACCCCACATCCAGAAAAAGCCTTTAACCATATCCTCACGATGGGCCAAATACCCCAAGATATGCTCATGGCACATGTAGCCACCTTACCGAAACCAGGCAAACCCCCTATGAAATGCCAAAACCTTAGACCAATTTCCCTCCTTAACACTGACATCAAACTGCTAGCAAAAATTTTCTCCAACAGACTAACGAACATTATTCCAACTCTAATACATGAGGACCAGGTGGGTTTCATCAGTGGCAGGCAGGGAGCGGACAGGACCTGAAAGGTTTTAGACCTGTTGCAAGGGGGGGGGGGAAGGGCCCAGTGCGTCATGTTATCACTTGACGCTGAGAAAGCCTTTGACAGACTGCACTGGCCCTTCCTCCAGGCAGTCCTGCTCAAATATGGATTCCCGGACACCTTCTTAAGATTGGTGGGAGCGCTGTACTCCAAACCGACAGCGAAAGTCACAAACGGGGGATTCAGCTCCAAACAATTCGAAATAACCAACAGGTCAAGACAGGGTTGCCCACTATCACCTCTCCTTTACATTTTATCCCTAGAACCACTCACACAACTCATTAGGGACAATCCGGACATACATGGCATCACAAGACAAGACAAGGCAAGGAACATAAACTCACACTATTTGCAGATGACGTCCTCTTAACACTGGAACAGCCACATATATCCCTACCCAACCTTCATAACACGCTCTCCCAATATAGCAAATGCTCCCACTATAAACTCAATGTTAATAAAACTCAAGCAATGGGTATAAACATCCCAGCTGAGGATATGCGCAGGCTGAGCGCCTCTTTCAAATAAGATTGGCGCAATGACCACCTCAAATTCTTAGGAATCAATATCACCCCAACCTCAGCAAACCTCTACAAAACAAACTACCAGAAAACACTGACCGAAATAAAAAACTTAATGCTAGGATGGAAAGGTAAATTTATATCCTGGTCAGGAAGAATAGCCGCAGTCAAAATGATAGTCATACCAAAACTGCAATACCTATTTAGAACATTACCCATAAAACTACCACTCAAATTCCTACAAGACTCGCAACAAACATTGCTAAACTTCATCTGGGACAAACATAAAGCGCGAGTGGCGAAGAGCACACTATACATGCCACGCAAAAAAGGGGGTATGGGAATACCCAATCTAGACAGCTATTACAGAGCAGCTATTTTAGGTCCCTTATTAGCGGCGTGTCACCGGGACAACCCAAATCAATGGATGGAACTAGAGACACAACACGCTAACAACATACCCATTACTATACTGGCATGGCTCCCTCGACACAGCAGGCCAGCAACAAACAAACTGCTCCCAACCACAGCTCTAACTTTGTCCATATGGGACAAATACTGCCGCACACTGGGCTGGTCGGGCAAAATATCGCCTGCCACCCCTATAAAAGCATTACATTATATGACACCAAATTTTAATTACACTCTGTGGCACCGACATGGGGTAACACACCTACACCAACTACTGGAGGAACATACACTTAGAAGCTTCACGGACCTAACAACCTCTTACCACTTGACCCCAATGGCATCATTCTCTTATATGCAAGTACACTCATGGTTCAGCAAGCAAACCTTGAATAGGATGGATAATGTACAAGGGCAACAGCTGAAGGTGGTAGAGAAAATTTGCTTGCGCCTATTAACCCCCAAAAAACTTATATCCGAACTATACCAAACGATGCACACTCAAAAAGACCACACAAAACTATCATTCATTGCAGCATGGGAGAAGGAATTCACATACACTCTCGATGCGCGGCAATGGAATAAAATTCTACTTGCACATAACTCACTCTCCAAATGCGCCTCCCACATGGAACTATCCCGAAAAATCCTATACAGGTGGTACTTAGTGCCTACACGTATAAAAGCACCATACCCACAAGCCTCCGATCTCTGTTGGAGATGCCAACAATGCAAAGGCACAATGCTCCATGTATGGTGGAACTTCCCCTCCCTAACAAATTACTGGGACAACATAACTACTATAATACAAGACAGCTCAAAAATGCTTTTACCTTGCAAGCCAGAAACGTACCTTCTCCAGCTTTGAATGTAGGGTAGCCAGAAATACTTAACTTACCACATACTTATGGCTGCAGTAACTGTCATTAGTAGACACTGGAAATCCGCTATCCCGCCCACAAGAACAGAATGTATACAAACGATAGAAATAACTAAGCTCTATGAACAGGCAACCAGACGATCAAGTCAATCCAAAAAAATTTGGTCACAAGCCTGGGAAACCTGGCAGTCGTACATAAGGCGTAACACTGTGCCCTCAAAAAAAGAGGCTGTAGCAAAAACCTACGGACTGACAGCTGTGCCCTTTTAGACAATGTAAATTGTAAATGATAACAAAATT